CGTTTAATACCACCTTTTATTCATAAACCAGATATTGTTTTCAAGTAGAGTTATGAAACAATATATGGGAAACAACCGTTACTGTCTCCAGTTTGCAAAAGACATTCAGAAGTGTTCCAAAAGTGTGTGACAACGACCATAAAACCGGGTAAGGAGGTACGTCTAGAGGAGATCTCGTCACTACAAAACCCCGACAGCGACCCGTTGTGCCTGAAAGTTGAGGGAGGTTTCTAAAAGATACCCCAACTCTAGACCTCTGACCGATCCGGTGAGGTCCTGGAACTTTACGAAGAATGCTTCGGTGAGGAAGCAACGGGCCGGCCGCGCGCGCCGCGCCCGCGCCCCCCCCCCTCTTAAAGAAGAAGTTACAGGTCTGTGAGAGCAGGAAATCTTGTTTGTTTGTTATTGACCAAATACTTATTTTCCACCATAATTTGCAAATAAATTCTTTAAAAATCAGACAATGTGATTCTCCTGGATTCTTTCCCCCCATTTTGTCTCTCATAGTTGAGGTATACCTAGGATGAAAATTACAGACCTCTCATCTTTTTAAGTGGGAGAACTTGCACAATTGGTGCCTGACTAAATACTTTTTTGCCCCACTGTACACCTGCAGATGCATTTTTTTTAAAGAACTGATCAGACCTTGAACAAAAGAGAGAAGAACCCCCACCCTAACCCCGAAACATTCAAATGTCTTTTTTAGCGACAACGAGGAGGAACGGGGCCGCTCGTCTCAAAACGGCCAGTCGGGAAAAGAGTTCAAAGATGAAGAGGAGACCGTAACCACCAAGAGTGTTCACATAGTCCAAGCAACAGAGACAACAGCAACAAGGAAGAGAGGGGTCCCGTCTAAGAAAGTAGACCTGGGGGCCGCAGCCCACTATGTAGGAGACAAGAGCCCAGACACCACCCCCAAACAGGTAACAATAGCACATGTGAGCATATAAGGTCAAACTTTATCGATATATGTATAATCATGCATGGAGTGTTCCTGAAGTGTTTATACAGGGCACAAAAGATGCATTTCTTAAATGTATTATATATATGTTCTATAATTGTTTTATATTATTCTTCAATCTAGGCCCAGCCAGCAGCCCCCCAGCCCGCCAGCAGCAACCTAGCTGACCTCTTCATGGTGGACACAACACCAAGCCAGCCTGCTGCCACAGGTATTATGTCATTTCTTCAGGTAACATTTAGTTGAATCTTCTTGTTGCTATGCCGAAACCACAGAGAAGCAACTGATCCCAGACCTGTTCAGCATAGTTTAGCACCTTAGAAACGGCTAGAAAGGGAAAAAATCGCCTGCTATCATCTTCAAATATGTTTTATTTACATGTATTTTTGCAAACAAGCTAGACACCATCAAATCCAGGAGTGACCTTCTTGCTCAGTGTTGCTGTTCAGAGGGAAGGTCCACTGCAGTGACGGGCCCAACTGCTGAGGCTAGCATCAGTTTTTTGGGACAGCAGTGGGAGGGAGTGGGTGTATAGGAGCTAAGTGCACCAGATGTTTTTGGAGCAGTCCCCGGTGAATGGAGAGGGCGGGAGCGCTGAACAGATGTTTGCTCCTCTCCACCTATCCACTGCGGCCCCCACCCCTCCCCTCCCTCCTACACTTCTGACACTGAAGGAATGCTAACTATGGTGGAATGACACCTGGAGCTCTCTTGTTTAAAATTGATGTGTTTATGTCTAGTTCTCAACGCAGACCTGATGAGTGGATTCGCTGACTTCTCTGCACCGGCTGCGTCCGTTGGCTTCCCCTCAGTATCTGGTGGGTTTCAAGACTTTATTTTTTTTGTTTGTTAGTGTGCGCATGTGTTTGCTGTGCTGTCGCAGCCATACTGCTAGAATATTCAGAGAGATGCTGTGAGGAAGCCCTGGCCATATGGAGCCTGCTACCTGCTCTGCATAACAAGAACAGACACACATCAACTCCTGTTATGGATGACAAGGAGACGGGGACAGAGGAGGGGGTGGAGGGAGCTGAGAGAGATCGGGAGGAGGGATGGAGACAACAAGCAGAGCCAGTTCAATGAAAATGTAAAATGTGGCACCAGTGGTCACTGAGGATGCCCTGAATACAGCCACACTCACTGAAGACTCAGCTGTTGTTCTTAGTTGCTATGACGGGTTTAAATTAGCTTGCGTTGGCAGCATATTGCAGTTATTTACAAAGCTCACAACATCACTGTTTGGATAGCAAACATACACATTTACCCAACCCTCTTATATGTGTCCTCTTTCTTGTAGCTGCAGCACCTTCCTCTAGCAGCAATGGAGAATTTGGAGAGTGGAACGCCTTCCCCGGAGGTCAGATGCCAGCGTCTGCTCAAACTGCCGACACCAGCGGAAATGACCTTTTTGCAGCCATGACAGCTCCTGCAGCCGCCCCGGCTGCAGGCTCGGGCCCTGCCTCAGCAGACCTGTTCGACCTGATGGGGCCCACCCACTCCCTCAGTTCCTCCCAGAGCCTCAACTTCAGCATGAGCTCCTCGCAGAGCATGAGCGCCACGGCGATGCCCCTGTCTATGCCCCAGGTATGCATGACCGCACTCATACAATCCACGCATCCTTCTTTAAATAATGTATTATTATACATATCATTACAAGACTCATGATGGGGGGCCTAAATTATACAGGTGGAAACAAAACATCCTCAGGAAAATAACAATGCAGTTTATGACTTCAGATTTCATCAATCCCAAGCTAGACTGATACATTTGATGTTTTTGTAAATACATCAAATAAAGACGGTATTTGAAAAAGCATATCGTTGTAATAAAATCAGATTCTTTATTTTTGATATCGATGTAATAAACGGAATGACTCTGGTACTAGATCAAACATTTTCATCATACATTTGAGCCAGCGAGCTAAAGCCAAACTAGAGTTAAATATTTCAGTTTTAAAAATCACCGTTTTTGAGAGCTGTGGTGTTTTTTTGTTGTGTTTGGAATGTTCCAACCCCAGGCTTGTTGATTTGGCCTTGGCATAGCAAAATGAGTAATATTCTGGCATTTACATGTTCACACAAATAACCTTTAAACCATTTTATGCTTCAGTTTGAAGCGGGAAATAAATGAAATTCAAACAAGGGGAGAAGAAGTTCACTTTAAGTAGTGTTCCAGTACAAATGTTGAGAACATTTCACACATTTACTCCCAGCATTCAGTTTCCCTGTTGACATAATGAGTCGGTGTGCCTGTGTGATAAAGACATACCTTGTGTGATTGAGAGATGGAGGACAAGCATGATGGTGGAGGGTTAGCATACAGCCTCACCAGATGCTCCTCTCCCCCAGAGACCGCCCACTAACCACCCACTCCTCCTGTTCCTGACACACAGAATGAGAAGAATCAGGTTTGAGTTACAAAAACAATAAAAACCCAACCAAAGCATGTGGATGTCGACTGTGTTCCATGTTAAAAGGTTGTTGACCTAAAAAAGAACCGTTGTCTTTGTTTCACTGAGCACACGCCCACCACTCTGTGTTTTAATGAGCTCAGACACAGACAGCAGCTCATCTCCCTGACAGTATGGAGGTTAAGTGGGGGCTTAAAGGCCCTGAATTAAGAGAAGGAACTTTAGCTTTTCATAAAGTATTTCAGAGTTGGAGCTCTGATGTGTCTTATCGCAGTATTCTTCTGTGATTTCAGCTCGGATTAGCTCTTTCTCTGACAATGTAACTCTGCTTGTGTGGGTCTTTGCTGCCCCTACAGAACATGGGAGGTCCTCTTCAACCGCAGTCTATGCAGCCAATGCAGCAGGGGGGGGCCTCTCAAGGAGCCAAAGCAGCCCTCCCTGCCACCTGGTCGGACTCCTCCATTAACATCAGCCTGGACTTTCTGGGGCCGGGCGTGCAGCCCCCCAAGCAAAGCCAGCCCACCCTCAACACCCTCCAACACGGTGAGACCAATGGGAGATCTGGTATGAATGGTGACACTGTAGCCAATCTGGGAAAATGTATAAACTTTGCTATTGCAAGTTTTTACATAAAGGTTTTTAATCAATTTAAAAATGTCTTAATATTTGCCCAAAAAACCCGGCTCTTTGCGCATCACTGTGGCAGCTCATTGAGCATTTCTACTGGCCACTCAATCTTTCTCTGCTTATTCTGAACTCATTCTAAGGCTTTAGTAAACACTGAGTCAGCAGTACCAGCTAAATAAATATAGAATAGTTCATGTAAACTTAATTCCTGATTCTAATTTAGGGTTAATTTTAAAAGTAATATTTTTTGATATAAAGACAAATCTGCCATGTTGGAAGGTGACCTGACAAAGCCAAACATGTTGGGGTTCACACATTGTCTGAAAAGGCAGAGCTACACATGCTAAAGCTGTAACTAAGTCAATGACTGAGGTTATGAGTCCAACATGAGTGTCCATAGTGCTCCACTGCGGTTGTTAACATAAAAAAACAAATCAGTCTCTCCTCAAATGGTAGTGTACCTTCCTTCTTAATGACATTCAGGTTGAATGCATTCACTCGGCCCAGTACAAGCTGATGGGGAAAGCTAGCAACAGACTTAGCAGAACAACGTCCGATTATCTAAATGAGGTTTAGAATGGTATACAACATACATTTATGGATTTCACAAAAAGTATAAAACATAACTTTTATACTTATTACTTCATTTAAACTTTTACATTATATATTTGGGTTGATAGAAATCATTTGAATTCCTAAAAATCATATATATGTATTTGAAATAAGGACATAGTAAAAAAAAAGTGAAATAGTAAAGAAAAAAAAGAATGTGATATGTATAGAATATGATATGAACAGAATATGAAATTAAGTAATGTACATTAAGACAAAATTAAATACGGTTTGTTGCGGTGATAACTATTTATATACTTAAGTAGATTGGAGATGACGACAAACGGATGAATGTTTCTCGGTGCACTTTCTCCCACGGTCTAGTGGTAAAAGATATAACATAAATCATATTATGTAATTGCTATACTTAAAACTCAACTCGAGCAATAAATATCTAAATATCTCCCAACTATGAAATAATCTGACTATCCCAACCATAGCAGCCAGACTGTCCCATAAATCTCCTCATGTATGAGATTTTAAAATCTTGTATAAATTGCCTTTGTTCTGTCATTTCCAGGCACCCCAGTACCCAGCAGCATGCTCCCCCAGGGGTTTGCCGCCATGAACCTTGGACCTGCTGCAGTCAAATCGCCTGTCAGTCCCATGATGCACCCCGGTGCTGGCATGGGAATGGGGATGGGCATGGGGATGTCTCCCAACCAGGGCATGATGGGGATGGGCATGAACATGGGGATGCCACAGGGGGGGATGGGGATGAACCCTGCGATGGTCCAACAGCCCAAACACGATGCCTTCGCTGACTTTGGCAACTTTGGAAAGTAATAGAGCCAGAGAGCAAAGATTATCTGGTGGAGTGGTGTTGATCTCTCTCTCTCTCTCTCTCTTTCTCTCTCCGTCCATTGGTGAAGGATTGTCACGAGCTGCAAACAAAGAGTACTTGAATAATGTCAACTATCACAATACAAACACCCTGCAATCGCCTTTTTTTTTTAGTTTTTTAAGGAATGCTGTGTAGTGGATCTAAAATAATTTGTGTTTGAACCAATGAGCCGCCTGGTCCTGGGTGACGGGGGGCCTCGTGGGTTATGAAAAGGAAGACTGTGCCGCCAAGAGAATGTTTGGGGGGGGGGGGGGGGTCTGCTTTATAACCTCAATCAAGTTAAATCACCATAATAGCAAAAAAATATCAGTAGCTGCGTAATTATTTTGAGATGCTTTCTCAGTCATTTTACTGATTCAAGTTTGAATAACATGATCGGCTATTTTAACTTTTCTAATGTACATTTAAGAATGTCAAGTTACCTCTTTCCTTCTTTTTCCATTGCTCTTCCTTTTGACCTGTAAATAGAAATCTGGAGCCCTTGCAAATAAGTTATGAAGTTCCAATATATGAGAGGCAGTGAGGGTGTGAGAGTTGTATCATACAGACCAAATCTGATGCGAACCAAGACCCGGAGCACAGCGACACCTTCTCTATGTACATACCACACACTCCAGACGTGCTACAGCTAATGAATGAGTGTTTGGAGTGAACATTGATTCATTTAAGGAGTTATCAGACCATCATTTGTGGCCTTTCTTATTGCTATATAAATATATATATTTTACTTATGAAGAATATAATCAGTTTGCATCCAAATGAGATAATCAGTAGGGCCTCGTACAGGGGTCGAGGGTTCATTACAGCACAGTGCCTGAGAGACCCTTTGCCTTTTCTCTTCAGTTAACCTCTCTAAAGGAAACGCTGCGACAGCACAGAGCGCCTAAAGCCGAGAGTACTGTCTGTACAGATATCAGATGCAATCCTATCATTATTTTTCTTTGTCCCATGCACACTTTCATGGTTTATTCAGGTCAGATAATACCTTCAGAGCGCAAAAAAACTGAACTTTGAGTGTTGAGACTGTTATGAAGATGTCATTGTAAATGTCCAACAGTGCATTTCTGTAAATGCTGCCCTCTCACCTTCCGTCATTTGTAACGTTACTCATTAAAAACATCATAACCGTCATCATGAAAACCAAGAAGATAGTGAGAGGACGCACTTTTTAGGACGCACTTTGCACCAAGTTTGATATGCCGGTTCCATGACTGTTAACGCATAATTAACTGCTAGGTTAGACGTACAAAACAATGCTCTTCAGCGGTTCAAGTGCCTGCCGGTGGTTGCCTCCTGACCCTTGTAATGAGTGATAAGTAAATCGTGGCTGCCTGACATTTTGGGCATGTCGACGGTTGGATAAATAATTCACTGAGCAGAGGTGAAGGCGGTGGATGTGCGGCCCCGAGAGCATCGAGGCTTTCCTCCTGTCTCAAGGGCTCAGAGGCAGAGCACACTAACACATAGTAGCCTTGCGTCGGACTCTGAAACATCAAAAAATGACCAAAATCTGTTTGCTGTTTTTTCTAAAATATAAGTAGCTGTTGTTTTATTCATTTTTTTTTATTTTCTACTTCAAATTGTTTTTTTTGATCTGCTCTAAAATGGGATTGTTACTGAAACACTAGCATATGCAAATGTAAGAAAAGAAAATCCTTTGAGAAAATGAATTTTTGCATTATTCCCATTTTGATTTACACATCGATTCTTTATCTACAACATTAAACAGTTGATTGAAATGTGTTAATGGCGTGTGTTATTTGGTGTGCTGTGTCATTAGCCTCATTCAAAAGAGCTTCAAGCAGCAGATGTGAAATCACTGCGCTTCACTTTGAAATTACATTTAGTTCATGCCAGTTTGTTAACCTCATTGACTGAGGTAATCACGGAAAGTCTTTGATAAATATGCACATTTACAAATTAATAGGGCAAAGAAGAACAAAAAAGCGTACAATACACGCAAATCTGCTGAAATGTAAGTATGCTGGATACAAAATCTATAGGTTATAACAAAAAATACTTCTAATACTTAAAGGGGTCTTGTGCTCATTCATATGTGTATGTTGTGCCTCTGCTGTGACATGTTTAAATGACTTGATTTAATGTTCAAAAAGCTCTTTATTTTTCTCACACTGCCTGTGTGGCAGCACTTCTTTTCACCCTCTGTCTGAAACCAGAGCCGAGTCTGCTCTGATTGGTTAGCTGGCTATGTCATGTGTGATTGGTCAACCGCATAGATATGTCCCATTGTCCCGCCCCTTAGCCTATCACCTACAATATTTTGGAGCGTTAGCCAATAGATGTGTTAGTAATGTCACTATGTTATTGAAGTAAACAAAGGAGTCCAATGGAGGAGTGTGTAGGAGAGAAACTTGGGATTTTAGCCTTTGCAAACCATTTACATGCAAAAAAACTTATATATACACTACAGGGGAGGAAAACCCCAAAAACCATAATAGGGGCCCTTTAATGTTCAGAGTAAGGAGGATGATCCTTGTTGTGTTTAAAGGCAAAACATGTTTTAAAATCTCAACCCTTGTTTAATTTAAGCTTAGTAGCATTCTATAAAGGCAGTTGGTGTTGTACTTAAATAATGTATACGTTGTGTCCTTCAATATCCAATATATATCAACTGATATGTACAGTTTGCCCTATGGGATGGATGGCCTGATTACTCTGGTGATATAATACACTCAAGAGAAAATTGTGGAGTCTAATTGTGGCTCATCTCTTCACCACAGTGCCCTTCTCATATTTCATCAACACACTAGTGTGACAAACACGACTAAAACACAGCTTGCATTAAACAATTGACCCCGTTTTCACTCTCTGGAGAGGAAGACTGTTAAATGGGCTACACTAATAATATATATACATATGAAAAGTAACAGCATATAGATGAAAACAGCTCAACTGCTCATACAATTTTTCCTATTTAGGGCATACAGATATATAGAAAGAAGGTCAATTAAACTCTGCAGTCAAATTAGAAAAATCTAGAATAAGGCAGACCTAGAAATACAGCAACATGCAATCATGCGGGGCAACTCATCATCCAAAAGTAACCTCTGCCATTTAAAAATAAGAAAAAACGCGACATCTTTACAACTTCCACTAGATGCAGTAAATTGTGCTTTTATGGGTAATGTGCCCATTAAAGAGTAAAAGCAATCTGAGACGTCAAGACAAATGACAGCGTTTGAGTGCCATCTGCAATCTCTAGCTTCACAAACTCAATTATTCATAATGCATTTATGAAGTCCGCTGAGACTGCGCTGTCATTCCTGTTCAAACTAACGGGAAAAGCAACATAAAGGGACAAGCTCTTTCCGATGACAATGGCCTCACAGATGGCACTAATGTGTTTATGCTGCCACCTGCTGGGTAATAACCATAACACCGCTGTTTATGCTGTGGCATAACGGTGTCAAATACATTTCCTTTAGTGGCTGTCAGACAAAAGGAAAAAGACTATAATTAGAACTGAGAAGCTTTTATTCCTCAAAATCACTTCTCTGGTGGGCAGAGAACCAGCTCCATATCAATATGATATAACAAACATCCTCTTTTGATTCCTCAGAATCTAATTACATCTCTGGCAGTTCATCTTTCAAAACCATCATTACAGATGTGCAGCGTAAAATCAAACTTTATTTGATTGTGGTTGTAGTCTTTGTATCCAGGGGTTACATCAAACTGAATAATCAGAGCGGCTGAGGGTTAACCAGGAGGACGCTCTCCCCCCGGATGAAGAGCTGGTTGATGTGGCGTGTGTGCACCTTGCCATACTTCTGGGAGACTTTCTTCTGGCAGACCTCTGGCCCCTGGGCCTTCGGCGAGACTTTGTGTTCATCCGTTCTGATTCTAACATTGGTTGACAGTTTGGACTCTGTCCTGCTGTCCTGTCTCTGGCTGCTAGGCTGAGCAGCAGACGGGGGTTTTGGAGTACTTTTTGGAGCACTTTTTGGGTTTGCAGGCTGATGCTTGCTGGCTGTTTCCTGGGCTCCGTGCTTCTTTGCTGGCTCATCATCTCCTGGACTCTCCTGGAGCCTCAGCTTCTCAAAGAGCTGCACACAGATGTTTGTCACATAAATAAATTAGGGTTTGGGAGGAGCACCTCCCGGACTTAAAAATCACTTTTATTTTAGGTGCTTTTTGGATAAGGATACATTTAAATGCAAAAATTACAACAAGCTAAGGCACTCTATTTTGAACAATTACAGTGCTTTCAATATAATGGCACATGACAAAATGCATCACATTTCTAATTGCTGCTAGTTCTCAAGCTTTCATCGTAAAGCAGTCAAAGGAAACTCGGGGCATTTGAAAAAAAACACATAGTAAAACTACTGGTACATTAAAGTCAGCTTGCAGTAAACAATTCTTTATCACTGACTTATTATTAAAACAAACATAACTGATTGTAGCTTTTACTATTACAGAGTAGAAAAAATATTTTTCTGTCAGATATACATTGAAGAATAATGCCTACCCGGGAAATGGTGAGGGCCTTCTCATGGTAAAATGCCTCTCCAAGCAGAGGCTCTCGGTATGTCTCATCTACATCCACCATGGCCTGAGAAAGAGGATAAAAACAGATAGTGAACATTCAGTATAAAAAGACACAAACTTCATGGTTTCAAGTAAGATGCAGATTATTTGTTCAGCATATGGCAGCTGTTAAATAATGAACGAGCGCTCACCATGTTCCAGAACTTGTCGAAGGCCACAACAAAGCCCGAGCAAACTCCCCTCAGCCCCTTGAAGGTCCTGATGTGAACTCTGACCCTGATCTTCTCCTCCACGCATCGGTACAGCTCCCCCAATGGACTGCCTTTACATACTGAACACACAGGACAAAGGAGTAACACAAACAAACAGTTAGAAGGTATCACAACAAGCTTCTGCAAAAAAGGCCAACAATGCTGGGTTCTACTGGATTTTTCACTTTTCAATTGGTTGATGTACACATATTGTATGGTTTCAGTTTCTGAGATATAATGTTCAATATATTTATTCAGATTATTAGCATTATATAACAAATATCTTTGAATTTTGAATGTTTGCTGGAAAAAATAGCAATTATCTTTGCTCTGAAAAGTGGTAATGGTGAGTTGACATTGGTTTTTCATATTTAGCCATTTACCCGTGTACAAAAAAGGCGAATCATAAATATATAAATTATATAATATTAAACGTTTGCTGCAGCCCTTATAAAAACAAAAATGGTATTGTGTTCCTATGTATTTTATTATTCTAAGTTCATGGTAGTAATTTATAAGTCAGTTAAACACTACAGGACTGTGAGAAAGGTACAACAAGTTTGAAATGAATGTTTATCCATATGAAGAGCAGGACAATCTCCTTCAATAAATGAAAATACTATGGAGTAACAACTTATTTAAAGCTTATGTTTGAAAGGGTTTTAGCGGCCTCAATCTCAACTTTATTTATAAAGCCCTTTTCAAAACAGCCGGAGCTGAAACAAAGTGCTGTACACGCCATAAAAAACAAAAACAAAACAACAATAAATAACAATATAAAAACAACAAAACCAATGAAGCATATAAAAACAAACAGAAACAGAGTCTCATGCTGGGTTAAAAGCCAAGGAATAAAAATGGGTTTTTAGGCGAGTTTTAAAAATGGACAGTGAAGGGGCTTGTCTAATGGTCAATGGGAGGCCATTCCACAGTTTGGGACCGGCAGCGGAAAAGGCTCTATCCCCTCTGAGCTTCCGTTTAGACCTCGGTACCTCCAGGAGCAGCTGATCAGCTGACCTGAGGCACCGGGCAGGAGAGTAAGGATGGAGCAGCTCTGAGAGGTACGGCGGGGCGAGACCGTTAAAAGATTTAAAAACAAATAAAAGAATCTTAAAACGGACTCTAAAATGCACAGGCAGCCAGTGGAGGGAGGCTAAAACTTGCCTGTGCAAGTATGTGGAGTTGTTGCAGCTTACAAGTGATGGCAAGCGGGCCTATCCTAAAAGTCAACATGATAGCATCCCACTTGTTGACATTGAATGAGGAACTCCCAACAAATCTCAATGTATATAGTGATGTAATAGAAGGTCTTATTGAACCTACAGGGCATCCTTGTGAGGACATTTTTCACCGGCTTGTGCCTCCTTCTCCGCGGTGCGCTGCTCTCCCCCTCCGGAGTCACCGGGTTGTTCACCATGAGCTTCTTCAGCCTCTCGATGCGCTCCGGGTCCGCCACCCCTTTCATGGCCTTCTGTCGTTTCTTCTCCACATTCTCCGGCTTGGCTCTGCCCCGGCCGCCCTTTAGAAAGCTCTCGTATGCCGCCACATTGTTAAAGCTTTTGATATTTGGAAAAGGAAGCGACACAGTGGGCGAGTACAAGGCCAAGAGAGGGTCGAATTTATCCGAGCAGACATCTGTTTTATCTACGCCACTGCCCGCAGCTTTACCGCAACGCTCCGGAGCTGATGGTGTACTCGAACAGGTTGCAGTGACCGATTCTTTGCTGTGTGCCTTTACAATTTTTCTTTCCCTCTCCTCCATGTTTGAAACAGGCGCAAATGAGCAAACAGTGCAGCGAAGAACCGAAGAACCCTGGGAAAGTGACTGACGTAGGTTGAGGATGAGCTCTCACTCTGCACCTATTTCAAGAGTGGTGGCGAATTTCAATCAAGAAAGCCTTATTTGTGTGTGGTGTTACCATTTTTTCTGTGATATTCTGACAGTGATGACCTATTTCAAATCATAAAACAATAATTAAATAAATAATTCAACCCTCAGAAAACAGTATGTCTGGATTGCGAGTTCCGCAATACGTATTTCCGTAACCCCTTATACACGATCTTTGGTTGCCCTTCCCCTCACCTAACCACACGATGGCGCCAAAATACAAGTTATGTTTTGGTAGCTTGTAAATCTGCTTTGATTATTTATGCAGTATCAACACAACAATTTGGTAATTGACGATGTTCGTTGATAGTGTGAACAAGAAGTGTCTGAGAGCAATATGATATTTGTGATTAATCAATTATTTCTTTATGTAGGTCTGCTCCGGAACCTTAGTGTGTGCTGTCTCCGGCTTCACTACGACATCATTCGTTGACGGACTGTACACAAACCAGCGTTTTTTAGCGAACTTACTCTCAGGATAAATGTAGATCAGTTTATTGCATTACTGTTTATCCTACTAAATCAAATATTGGTGTTTGTGTAACTAACGGAATATATAGATATTAATGCATGAAGACAACGGGTTTAAGTCACTAACCTACTGGTCACTGTACGTTGGCTAACAACACATCACCTCCAAGTGTAAGTAATAAATAATGTTATAGCAAGACAAACGAACATGTCTCTTTAATAATTATTCTATAATTAGGAGGATAGCCTTTTATATTGAAATAATACAAATAATTTGTGTAAAGGTTAAACCGAAACTATTTTCATAGGAGAGACATATGTCTACATGTATGATGTGAATGCATTTTGAATTGCTAACTTTGGAATATATATTATATTTCAATAACATCATAACCATTTGACAACAATAATGCATTTTTGACTTTTACTATTCAATGGTTGTAACTCAACACAAGACTATTATTCAATTACAAATTGACAATTGTGACTTTCTTGTGACAAATGTGACTGCCCTTTTTGGGCATCACTGCAAACACAACAGCAGAAATGATGCAGATATTTGGACAATGATACACCCACCCATAGAAGTGACAATTTCTGGATTGTAAAATTCACTCCATTCATGCTGTAAATGTGTCAGCTTCATATTTGCTTTTGCTTTTCAGGAACCCCTCAATGCTGTTTGGAAAGGCCTGCATATTTGGTGGACGTGCCAGGTATTGTGTTGTCAAACCCTTGGCCTGTCTTTTTACGACTTCCAGCAACATGGCCAAGAGCAAGTTTGAGTATGTCCGCAACTTTGAAACAGATGACACTTGTCTACGGAATTGCTACATTGTTGTGAGATTGGATGGTCGCAACTTTCACAAGTGAGTTTGCTCTTCAAGTCAAACGTTCTGTCATCTCTGTGAAGACATAAATAGGATAATGGATCCTTCTCTTGTTTTGAGTTTCTTCTTTTTTGTTTCAGGTTTACAGAGCAGCACAAATTTGCAAAGCCCAACGACAACAGGGCTTTGGGCCTGATGAGCCGGAGTGCTCGCTCCGTCATGGAAGAGTTAGAGGATATTGTCATCGCTTATGGTCAAAGTGATGAGTTCAGCTTTGTTTTCAAGAGGACTTCAACCTGGTTTAAGAGGAGAGCCAGGTACACTTTTGCAGCACTTTGAATGTATCTGATTTCCCCACATGCTTTCCTCTCTCTGACTTCATTCCTCCATCTTTCTCTTCCTGCAGTAAGCTTATGACACATGTGGCCTCCCAGTTCTCATCCTCATATGTGTTTTACTGGAAGGAGTTTTTTGGGGAGGACCTACCCCTCTTGTACCCCCCTAGCTTTGATGGACGTGTGGTCCTGTATCCTAGCAACCGCAACCTCAAAGACTACCTCAGCTGGAGGCAAGCAGATTGTAAGTGCACACTGTGCCATAACTGTTTTACAAAGTCACACACACACAGTATGACTGATTTTCTTGTATTAAACCAACGATACCAGACTGTGTGTGTTCTGTCTTTCAGGTCATGTGAATAATTTGTACAACACGGTGTTTTGGACTTTGGTACAAAAGGGAGGACTCACCACAGCCCAGGCAGAGGAACGCTTAAAGGTGAGAGCGTCACAAAATCATAAATGAACAAAAATATGTTTGTGTGTTTAGGAATATTTGCTGTGTCTTTTTACAAATATGCTGTTTTGTATAATATATCAAAGGTTTTTTCCTTTTACATTTCTATTAATAACTTTATATGAACAGCAAGACCTTCAAAATATGAAAAACAATAATAAGGAGAAAACACCTGCACATTTAGAGTTAACATTAACTAAGAAATTACACTGTCTCAATTTTGGTTCTACTTTTCTGAATGTGCACAACATTTACTGTGTGGACTGTGCCTTTAATTGCAAGCCATTTCCAAGACAGCCTTATGAGGACATTTTTGTATGTATTGTTGGTGAAATAATTTGCTGATTTTGCATTTTCTGGTTCAGCTATTATGAATTATTAAGTTTGACAATTTTGTTATCTATTTCACATCATTCTAAATTGAATGACATTCGATGATACAAACAAAAACAAATTGATCAAGTTGAAGACATTATTTTAGAGTCTGATATTAAATAACTGAATATTTCTCACCTTGTCTTTCCAAATGGAGACAATTAATGAAAAATATAAATATCATAGGATAAATTGATTATGAGAAGTATAGTTATTGTGTGAATATTTCGACAAAAATGTCTCCGTATGAACTATTTTGTGTTTGAAAGTTCTTCTGTAAACTTTATTTTATATTACTTTATTAATGGGTTTTTACAAAGAAGACATGATCCTTGCTTGTGTAGCTTTTGTGTGCTTTTCATTGGCCGATTTTTCACATGTATTCACATGATGACCACCTTATTTACTTCTGGTTTATTCTGGTTGGAGATGAACACATGCCTCTGACTGAAACAGCTGTTCTCTGGAAGTCACTTTATTCTCCGGTGGTCTGTAACTCACACAAAGTGATGACAGCTGACGGGTTGTGGAAAGTGTTTATTCTGGATGAATGAGTCATTCACAACCCATCAAACCGCCATGTTTCTGGTTACTTTATCACTTCCATAAAAAAAAAAACAAAGCAAAAATAGAACCAGTTGTGAGAGGTGTGGATGATAAGATTCCAGTGAGGCCTGACGAATCAGCTGATTTTTGTACTGCATAAATAACGTTTTGTAATATTAATTTAACTTTGTTGTTTCTCCCCCCAGGGAACACTAGCTGCAGACAAAAATGAGATCCTGTTCTCTGAGTTTAATATCAACTACAACACTGAACCTGCCGTCCTCAAAAAAGGCACCACTCTCATCTGGGAAAAGGTGAGCTGCTGAAAATGGTTTTCATGTTGCATGAGTAATTTACTGGGGTAACTCCTACTCATTTTGATATCTTTGGTTTGTGTGACAAAGGGCTTTTAATATCTCAACTCAGCCACTTCCACCTCACACCTCATCTATTTCTGCTTTAGTCAGTGATAGCCGAACATTTCACAACATGACTGTGTGTGAGGTATCTGCTGATAACTGCCTCAGACAAAACACAGCAGAAAAGATTGAGTCAGGAATAGTTGTGTGCACTTGTCTGCAGTTTGCAGGTTTGGCTGACAGCAACACTTAATGTCTTGTCTACTACATTTACTATTTATATTTGGGAAGCAGAATTGCCTTCTGTGCATGTTTACTTACTAATTGTTTTTTCCCGGACACACAAATATTTTGGTTGCCTATTGTTTGGTCACAGTTGTAGTTTAGCTCTTAAAATAACATAATTTTGTAGGAAAACATACACATCTCATACAACTTCCACGTTTTATTATACCACTTCATACCACAGTGAAATAAAAGGAAACTAAATGAATTAATTCCAGGCAGGTTTAGAATAAACATAGCCGGTTACAAAAGGTGGCTAATATTATTGTGAATTATACAGAATTCCACCGTGCTGTATACACAAGCATTACCTGAACGTGGCATTGCATTGTGGGTCAGTAATTACCAGAAAAACAAATAAAAGCATTAACAAATCAATGTCAGAAATGTCTCAACAGTACACATTTTAAAATAGTTTTTGATATTTTTCAATGCATAGTTTTTCAATATACAGCAATTTAATTTCTTTATTTTTGTCCAAGAGGTTTGATACCGCAGATATGAAACAAAGGCCAGGAGAAATAAATCTTAGCTAGGCATTAAGATTTAAAGCAAGGGGTAAAACTCTCTAAAATGTCAACATTTATACAAAAAAACTACCAATCTCTCTCTAAAGCAGGGGTGCCCAACCGGGTCGATTGTGGGAGATTCCCAGTCGATCGCGAGATGTGTCTAAAAATAGAACAACAATATTATGTTTTATCGTTAATGTCCTATAACATAATCTTCCTGTGCCAGAATAATGCACTTGAACGCATCAAAGCTTTGTGATTGGCCGGCGTGATCCCATGTGTCGGGGCGTGGCTGGTGGGCAGTGGGCACTATTTCGCTGACGTTGTCCGTGTCAACAGGAGTGACAGTCCGCACACACACAAGACCGCAATTATGGCAGAAGCAAAAAATCCCAAAAATATATCATTTTCACTCCGAGTGGGAGGATGATTATTTTTGTATCTATTCCAATTAAAAGTCCATCTGTCTCATCGGCAATGCGAGCGTGGCTTTATCGAAGAAGGGTAATTTCGGAGCGGCATTTCAAAACAGTGCACAAACGCTAAGAGACGGAATTCCCTCCTAATTCTGCCCTACGCTCCCAAAAGGGGAGGGACCTGAAAGGACAGCTAAATGCACAGCAGTCCATTTTCACCAGGCCCAACAACAAGAGCAAGGCTGCTACCATAGCATCTTATCGTCTCAGTCACGTTCTTGCGAAACACATGAAGTCTTTCAAAGACGGCGAAGTTGTGAAAGAAGCATTCCGGGAGGCTGCCGACGACTTTTGGGGGACAGTAAAAATAACAGTAGCATTTCAACAGGTTTTTGATATAATAAAAACTCAAAGCAGATACCGTTATTAATCAGCTGTAAGTTTTAGTTTGTTTGAACTTATTCATTATAATTATTGTACAAAATGGTATAAGAATGCAAACCTAAATCGATTGTAGTCTATTATCAATTCAGGTTAAGAAACTAGTGTTGCTTGCATCCTATTTTAAAGGCATTTATTTTTATACTCTACTAAAATGCAACAAAAAAAGGGTTTGATTCTATTAATTTTGTCTTTTTTATTGCACTTTGGCAGCAGATTCCTGTGTAGCTTCAGATCTAAGTTGTCTTATTAGTAAGCCTAATTTATACTTTTGTAGCAACACTATTTTTATATAATGGCAAAGGAAGGGTTCAGAGTCTTTTCTTTTTTCCCTGTGTCATATGTGGCAGCACTGTTCAATGTTTCTTGAAAACATTACCCACTGTAGTATGTGACGTGTGAATAAACTCCAACTCTGTATAAACAACACTGTTGTGTAACTTCAGTTAAATACTTGTATGTGTGTAGATTAGAAAGAGGTAAGATGAAGGATCTGCAGTATTTTATGAAGTATTAATCGTACAAAGGTCAGTTTTATACATGTAGAAGTGTGTATTTACCCGGTAGTAGGCTGTCAGTAATGGCTACGCCTCTCTATTTGGGCTGGTAGATCTCGGCAGACTGGCAACTTTAAAAGTAGTTCTCGGTTCAAAAAAGGTTGGGCACCCCCAGTGGCGGCCGGCCCATAGTGGCGATAGGGGTGCCGCCCCACCTCTTCCCACATACAAAAATATATATATATATTTTATATTTTTTATTTTTAATGAACAAGGTAAATATCATACAATTGGTATCAGTAAAATGTATAATCTACAATAAAATCTTGTTTAAAATTGTGTTACGATGTCTAAAGTTACTG